GCGATTTTTAATTTTTATTCATTTTTGAAGCCTATAATTATTTTTAAATAAAAATATTCAATGTCGGGTAATGTGGACCACTATAAAAAAGTGGGACCTTTTCATGAGGACGAGTTCGAAACATGGGCATATTTAATATGCGAGGAGGTAGTCTATACTCTGAAAACTCGATATACGAAATTACAGGTTGGATGAATGAAGCAAGGACCTTCAAAATACCGCAAATGGGCGGTACCCTTAAATGGGGACTATTCCAAAACATGAACCCATATATGTTTGCATTCATTGTTACCCAAGTGTGTAATAAATTGAAATTTATCACAACCAATCCTCAACCCACCTTTAACTTACAGATCCTCGTTACCCACACATACTAGTCCACATTACCCGCCAAGTTATTTTTATTCGCAGTTTAGAGTTTTTTGAAATATAATGCAATAACATTTTTATATACAAATATATATAGACTAATATATAGTACTTTTTTAATGGTAAATCTAGTAAAAGGGAAACATTTCAAAATTGCTCTCAGAGTACAAAATAATTTGAAAAGTTCGGGAACGCAAATCTAGTAAATATGCTAAAATTAGATGGCAATACTTCAAAATCAACATAACAGCCAATCAGAAGTAGGCATTCCTATTTACCATTTTTGCTCGGCCAAATTTCTCGAGTAAAACGCCATTTTGTTTTGTGCTCTCTTAAATTTGATTCAATGTTTTACCAGTTTTGTGGGTTGAGGAACGGTTTTCGAGTAAAAAGTTGCAAAACATGTAAAATGAGTAGATTCTTTTAGGTTCTGGAACGGAACTATAATGTTTGACCTGGAATATCTTTAGCCATGGTATAATAATAAAAGGTAACATCAAGTGTTGTTGTACAAAAAACGATACAACAACCACATGGAAATTTGTTGTTGTAAGTTCTACTAGTGTCAACTCATTTCACAGAAAAATGTAAACAAACAAACAAATTATCATCAAATTATTTTTATTTTGAAAATGAAATATTTTCGAATCCTCAAAATAAAAATTGAAAACATGAATGAAAATCTATCAAATTTAGATTTCTATCGCTTCCACATCTATCCTTTAATTGAGCCATTGCCATATATATGTGTAACACATATGACAATGCTGGGAATAGCGAGTAATTCCTTCAAGAAAGATTTGCTTCCTCAAACTTTCCCAGCAGGCAGATTGAGTAAATTGAATACGGGAGCACATTAAAAAAGAACAATTTCAAATTGTATGCGTTCCCAATTTTCCTGTTGGGTGATTTTTAAAAACATAATTTGTCAAATGCATATTAACACTAGTGCTACGTTGGAATCAAATCAGCTGGGATTTGTTGTTACCTTTTATAATTGTACCATGATCTTTAGCCAACAAATCCACTATGATGTGAAAACAATTTGTTTTTATTTTTTACCGTTGTTACGCCCACAATATCAAAAAAAGAAAATGGTGTTCACAGTACCCGAAGTTACTCTACCTTGTATAGCTATGCCATCTATAGAGCTTGAAACCTCGAAATTTAGAAATAAGGTTACTGTTGGAGTGTAGTACAGGGATTTGGATGTAGTTTTGGAAATTCATACATAAGGGTACTAAATTGTACTAAATTTGGTACAATTGGAAGCTTGGGTGAACTGATAGAGCTGTGATCCTGAAATTTGGAGTTAGGATCATTGTTGGGGTGTAGGATTGGGATATGTAGAAAGTTTTGGAAATTTGTACTAGTGTGTACTAAATGGTACCAAATTTAGATTTAGGTGAACTGATAGAGCTGGAATCTTGAAATTTGACAGCGATCCTAACACTGTCGGAGTGTTGGATTGGGGTATGTAGGAAATTTTGGAAATGTGTACTAAATAGTACAAAATTTGGTACAATTTGGATTAAGAGTGAACCAATAGAGCTGGAATCCTGAAATTGGGCAATAAGATTTTCATTGGATTGCATGATGTAGGTAAATTTGTACTTATGTGTACTAAATAGTATTAAATTTGATACAAATTATATTAAGATGAATCGATAAAATCCTGAAATTTGGAAGTAAGATTGGGATATGTGGGAAGTTTTGGAAATTTGTACTTATGATTGTTAAAGTATGTAGTTCTGGATGTGTACTAACTGGTACTAAATTTGGATTTGGGTGAACCTATATTGGAAAATTTTAAATTTTTTCCAAAAAAAGTATTACAAGAGTGCAAAGTGTAGTAAATGATACCGCATTTAGTATAGAGCTAGGTTTCTGTTGCGGTCAGAATTGGTGTGTAGGGTTGAAATATTGACGTAGTTTTGGAAATACGTACTATAAGAGAACGGTATTGAATTTTAAAAACACATCCAACATTCGCTAACGAAGTAGCGGGCATATGCTGGTAATACCATAATTTCCATGTGTTGCAAATACTTGACCACCAATGAACCATCTACAAGATATAAGGTCTATTAGCCAATTCCTTAATTGGCAATGAATTTAACCGAATAATAGGAAGGCAACAAAGGTGAATAATTGATTAAGTGAACATGGAAACGTGTTGTTTCGTAATTGCAAGTTCAACGTCTGATATATCACAGAGTAAGCAAGTACCCGTGTCTTTGTCCAAAAAATAAAAGAGACAAAACAAAATATAATTTTATTGTTTAATAACATTTTTTTATTATTTGTTTACTCGAGTTATTGATGATAACGTTCGCTAATCTAATTACATATATACACTTAAATCGTTTCTTAATAAATCTAAAAATACATACACATAAATATACACATATATATTTGGTTATATACAAATACAGAAGCATTGACACAGATTATAGTGTCGGGGTATAAGTTTATTTAGTGATAGAGTGCAATAAATGCAGTTTGTCGGTTTTTTAATTAATCAAATGTACAAATATACATAAGTACATATTACTATACATATGTATTTGTAGTTCATACTATTACACAGTGCTACAAAGACAATGTGTCCTTAACCTCAAAAAAGAGGAGGCAATTTTGCTGCTTTATGTCATATGTCATTTTATGCCATTATAATACGTTTACATTGTACCGGATTTATTATATCTGGCAATTCCATTACATAAATAACCATGACATAATTAGACAGTGTAGTCTCATGCAGTCATATGTTTCCAATTTTTTCATAAATTTGCCTTTGACAGTATTCAGCTTTCAAAATTGAAATGAAAATATCTTCCTTCGAATTGTACGCATATCATGTGTTCAGTGGCAAAAATTGCTAAATAATTTATATTCATAAATATTTCGAAGTTCCCTGCCTCTAAAACTTATAAATATAAGAGGTAACAACCATGGTTAAATCTTGAAAGCAATGTTCAGTTTTAGAAAATATATTTTGTTGAATTTATTGAAAATATGTCAATCGACATACATAAAATTTTATGGAAGTTATTTTTCATATTATTTAAAATTGATAGATGATTTCCAAATTAAAAAGGGTTGCCATCATCAAATTCTCAAATGAGATTACCTTCTGTAATTATGCCATGATAAATGTCACATAAATCCTCATAGAGGAGGTTAAATGTACGTTTAGATTTATGACATCCACTTGATCTCAAATTTCAATTCCATAGCGTATACGTCAAATATAATCCACTGAATTTGTGAACAGGATTAACGTGACGTATACGCAATGGGATTGCCGTTTTAGATCGAGTGGATTTTGTAGTCTAAACGTAGCCTAAGCCGGGAAAAAGTTCTAACCTCAATAAAAGGTGGGACATTTTTCTGGCTGGCTGCTTTATGTCATATTTAAAAGCCTTAGTCTAAACCATGGTATAATAATAGAAGGTAACAGCAAGTGTTGTTGTACAACCATGATGAAATAATAAGGTGACGTATCAAAACAAAAACATTTGTTTTTGTCTCGACCATTTATCAAAATTTTCCTTATAATATTTCACATGGTTTGCAACATTACACATCGAATTCAAGTAGAAATTACGCATTTCACAGTTAATCAAGTCATCAGCTGAGCCATGATGCAAAAATAAGGTGATGTAACAAAACATAAGCCTTTGTTTCTGTCTCGGCCATCTGTTAAAATTTTCCTTATAATATTTCACATGGTTGGCAACATTGCTCATAGAATTCAATTAGAAAATACGCACTTTGACAGTTAATCAAGTCATCAGCTGCGCTAAATGGACTACCTATTTATTTTGCCATGAGCTGAGCTAAATGGACTACCTATTTATTGTGCCATGTTGTACAACAAACGACCACATGGAAATTTGTTGTTGTAAGTTATACTAGTGTCAACGTCATTTGACATAAAAATGTAAACAAACAAATTATCAACAAATTATATTTATTTTGAAAATCTAATATTTTCGAATCCTCAAAATAAAATTGAAAAACATGAATGAAAAACGATCTAATTTACATTATTATCGCTTCAACATCTTTCCTATAATTGGGTCATTACCACTTATATGTGTGACACATATGAAAATGCAGGGAATTGCGAGTTATTCCACGAAGAAATATTTGCTTCCTCAAACTTTCCCAGCAGGCAGATTGAGTAAAATGAATACAGGAGGACATTTAATAAAGAACAATTTCGAATTGTATGCCTTCCCAATTTTCCTGTTGGTTGATTTTTTAAAAACATAATTTGTCAAATTCATATTGACACTAGTATTACGTTGGAATCAAATCAGCTGGGATTTGCTGTTACCTTTTATAATTGTACCAAACGTGCATTAATAAAATGCACATTTATATTTTACACTTTTTTTCGTAGCACAGTGTAATATAGAACAAATAAATTCAATTAATACTTAATTAATTAACAAAAAGCTCTTAAACGAAATTGATTGTCAAAGATTTGTACATTTCTTGTTGTTGTTGCTTTTTTAATCAAAATTGTCCATTTTTTGGTCGTTGTTATTGTATTGCTTTGAAAACTCAGGTACTGGTATATTTTCATTCGTCCGTTTTTTTTTTTCAAAACTCTCTCTCTATCAATTTTTCGTTTCAATTATACTCTTATATTTATCATCTTCAACATAGAAATTGGCATTTTCTTCAACCAGCTTTTTCCAACGTTGTGTCAACTCTCTGTACGATGGACCATTGCCACCCAAATCACAGGGTAAATTTTCACATTTCACCGAACATTTACGTTTTTGTACAACAACACGTGAACGCATTTTCGGTGTCATAAAAATGCGAAATGTATTCAAAACAATATTGACATGTAGTGGCGAGTTAATAAATTCCATCAGCTTCGGTTGATATGGATACGTTTGCCAACTGTCAACAGTTCGTTTGATTAGTTTCGGGTTTAGGGCCATTGCATGACCCAGCTGAACACCATCCATATCGAATATGGCTACAATGCCATTTTTACAATTTTCCGGTTCGAGCAGAATCAATAAATCCAATACCATTTTCATTACTTTGAAGACATCATTTTGTGAATGTTCCTTGGGCTCGTGTACAGCTGTACGAATGATAACAACTTTTCGATTTTCCTCGTCTAGACCATCGACGGGAAGGAATACGCCTAAATTGAGTAATTCTTGGATTTCTTTCCGCGTCGGATCTCGATTTGAAAACCATTCAGAACGTTCAGCACGCATATGATAGAAGCTGTAAATGAAAAGAGAAAATATGGTAAATATTTAAATGATTTGAATTTTCAAAAACAAATATTTATTTGAGCAATTGTTTACTGGATGTTATTAGATATTATTTTTTATAACCCTCTTATACCCCTTTAAAACATATACTGCGAAAATTATTCAATATCTGAACGTATCATTGAAGATTCTGGTAATAAATAAGCAATAAGCAGATCTCCAATTCCAATTTCAAGATCTGGAAATAATTGTGGTTGCATGTAATTAAAAACTTGAATAGCAGCAGGTATATATGTGTGTATGTATGTATTTTGTTGGCTATGAATAAATACGCTGTGTTCCCTTTATTTTTACGAATCTACATCAAAAATAAGTTAAACACCATTTAAAGTATATTTACATATACGATTTTAAATCGATTCGATTAACGAAATCCAGAAATACACCCTAATTGTTCACACATACCTTTAATCATGATCTAAATGCCGATTTAACATGGCGAGGCCCAGGCTTACCTTGTTCCCTCTTTCATCTCAATTGTGGACACTGACCTCCCCGAGGTGTCACCTGGAGTAACTATTTTCATAACCCGTTGAAATAGTGTGCTGATATGTGCCATTGAAGAACAGGCGCAATTTTCACTTCGACGGATGTACTCTAGAAGTACAAAGCTTACATGAAATGCGATGGAAAGGGACAGGCGTAGGTAAATCGGAAGTTTACGCAATGTATTATAGCTGTCATGAAACGAGACAAAAATTTGGCTTGCGGATTTATGGTTAACAGGAGAATAAAAGACCTCGTCTCCAGATTCACTCCAGTAGACATATTTTACAAGCGCCTGGAAACAGCATATGACCGCTGCCCTGGACATGACATTAAAATTTAATGCAAAAGATTTTCATGCACAAATCGGAAGGGAAAATATTTTTGGCCCCACCGTCGAAAAATTCAGGCTTCACAAATAAATATTCGACAACGGTATGAGTTTGATTGACTTCGCGGCAGCAAAAAATATGGTAGTTTGCAGCACAAGATTCAAGCATATCGATATACACAAGGCCACCTGGATTTCTCCTGATCAAGCAACGAGAAATCAAATTGATTATGTTGTGATAGACGAAGGCATTCATCCAGTGTAAACTCGACGTCGAAAAGCTGCAAAGGCAATAGGTAACCGAGGCCTACTCCGCTCAACTTACCCACCTGCTTGACGAAAGCACTTCTTGTCCCGATAAAGGTATAGAAGCACAATGGCAAACAATTGCCCCCTCCCTACAAACTGCAGCAAAAGCATCTCTTGGATACCAAAAACGACCATCAAGAAACCCATGGTACGATCAGGAGTTTCGTAATGGTACTGATGTGAAAAACGCAGCGTATAGGCAGTATCGGTATAAAAGGAGAGAGGAGAAACGTATTATCAGAAATATGAAGAAAGAACAAGAGAAACGTGAGCGTGAGCAAATCGAGACGTACAGAAGTCTGGAAATTTTACCAAAGAGTAAAACATCAAACCGAAGGCTTTGGTGTAGGCATCAGTCAGATGCTGGTAAGGAGCATGCACCAGCCAATTTGTACAATTTAGCTAGAGGAATGCATGTCCAATGATTGGAACCTTAGCATCCTATGTCCCGTGCACAAAAAAGGAGAAAAGAGGATATGTGCCAACTATAGAAGAATAAGTCTCCTTCGCACCGTGGGAACGATTGAAGCCAATGCTGTGGGAACGATTGAAGCCAATGGTCATTATTGGACCATACCAATGCGGCTTCAGGCCTGCAAATCCACCATTGACCAAATTTTAACTCTGCGCCAAATCTTGGAAAAAAATCACGAAAAACACATCTACACATTCCACCTATTAAGCCGCATTCGACAGCCCTATCCATTCAGAGGTGTTTAAAGCCATGTCTGCGTTTGGCATTCCTGCCAATTGAATACGGCTATGCAGGATAACTTTAACTGATACAATGTCAGCAGTTAAAGTAGGAAAATACCTCTCGGACCCCTTCAATACCGAACGAGGATTCACCCAAGGTGACAAATCGTCGTGTCGCCTGTTCAACATCCTGCTTGAAAAAAATCATACGAGATCCAAATGTGAAAACACATCGACACATTTCACCTATTCGTCGACTATAATGCCGAGATGCAAATGTGATCAGAAATGACACTCTGTACACCAAACGGCATATATTACTCGCCTACGCCGACGACATCGACATAATGGGTCGAACATTGCTAGCGGTAACAGCCACCTTTGAACGAATTGAAAAGGAATCTGCCAAAGTGGGAGTGGCAGTAAATGGCGAAAAGACCAAGCTGATGGTATCAACGCGCAAGACGTCCAAAAGCGAGCCTATTGATGGTTCACGCAGAAGGGGAAGGCCACGAATCCGATGGAAAGATCAAGTAGAAGAAAACATCTTGGAACATATTCTTTCAAATTGAATGAGATGCGCACAAACCGACGATCCTGGAAATCTTTTTTAAGCTCGGCTTATGGAACAACCGTTCTATCATAAGCCAGCTAAGTAAGTAATTTTTCAAAAAGTGAGCTAATCTATGTGCACCAAACGCGACTCATTTAATGAGAACAGTTGTAACTTTTAGTACTTTTTGGCACAAAGGCAGGATTGTATAGCATAGTATGGTGTTTTCGTGCGATGTCAAAATTGTGCCGCTTTTAGACCCTAAATCCTGAATTTTCTGTTGTATGTAAATGTGCTACGCTATGGAATTGACATTTGATATCGAGTAGATTTCTTAAATCTAAACGTACTAGAGTATTTATTTTATATTGACGAGCACATTTAAGAAATTAGCAGGTTAATAAAAAACTAAGCAATTCAAATGTACATCAGTAAAAAAATATCACAATATTATATACAAGAAAGTGCATCTTCTTTCTCAATATAAAGAGTTTTCTGTAACACTACAAAAAGAAAGAAATGCAGTATATAATCATTAATTATGTTATCACGCCAACAACAAGCAATCTGTCAATTTTGTGCTTTTAAGAGGTTATGGTCGATTAAATTTTTTGTATACACACATTATTCTTATCAGTAATTTTTAGCACGGTTATTTTCCTATAAATCTGAGAGGCACATTTATTAATTAATTGATCGAATACCAAATTGATAATCTATTTGAAATGTCACTTCGTTAATATTGTGATCTTAAAATATATGACTTTAAATTGTCATTTCCTGTTTGTGAATGTAGCATTAAATTATTTACCTTGTGTAAATGACAGTTTACCTATATATTGTACTGCTCCAGTCATGGCACAGTGAATGTAGTCGATTTAGCGCAGCTGATGTCTTGATTAACTGTCAAAGTGGGTAATTTCTACTTGAATTTGATGTGCAGTGTTGCCAACCATTTGAAATATTTTATGGAACAATTTGACAGATGATCGAGACAAAAACCAAGGTTTTTATTTTGATACATCACCTTATTATTGCATTTTTTTAATGGCAACAGTACGTTTACATTGTATCGGATTTCGCAAACCCATTAGGTTTAAATTGTCAATTCCATTGAATAAATGTAAAATAAATCCTCATAAAGTAGGTTAACCCGGTTAAAAGTTCTAATGTAAATGCCGTTTAAAGCTGGAAAAAAAGGAATAACGTCAAAATCACTCTCAGAATACAAAATAATATGAAATGTTCGGGAATGGAAATCTAGTAAATGTTTAAAAAATAAGTGACAATACTTCAAAATCAACAGCCATTCAGAATTTGGCATGTACCATTTTTTACTCGCCCAAATTTCTCGAGTAAAAAGTTTACAAAGAGAAAGCCATTATGTTTTGGTCTCTCTAAAATTTGGTAGACATTTTTATTAGTTTTGTGGGTTCAGGAACGATTTTCTAGTAAAAAGTTGCAAAATTAGTCAAATTTGTATTTGTTTTCTGGAACGGAACTTACGTAAATAGAGGACGTCTTAAAGTGCGCTTGGACTATAGCTATTATCTTGATAATGTGCATTATCTCAATTTATTTAGTAAATCGATTTACCCATGGCATAACTATACAATATTTTTTCTAATAGTACGTTTACATTTATCCAGATTTCGTTAACCCAGTGGGTTTCAATTGTCAATTCCATTGCATATATGTAAAATAAACCCTCATAAAGTAGGTTAACTCGGTAAAAAGTTCTAATGCATATGTCGTTTAAAGCTCCACATTGTTATCAATGGTATAATAAGAAAGGTAGTCTCATGCACTCAAAATTGTTTTCTTACTGTACCTTCATGGTCAAAAATTATAATTTTTATTTTCTCCTTTTTTATGTACGTACTGCTGATGGCAAAATAACAAACTTTTCATAGATAAAGGATTAAACCCGGAAAATTTATTATATGGAGGTTTGGTATTTATAAAGACCATCTTCGAGCCCTACAGCAAACATAGACCCAGGAGGGACAACAAATCATTACTAAATCGTTGTTGTCGATTATGCTAGTATTAAAAAAATGGTGGATACCAATGCGGAATCGCTGGCTTAACGGCATAAAGGCATTAAGTCCACTTTTCCTAGACATTCAGATTAGACAATGTACCCAACAAAAAACTAAGGGACTTGATGAGGATCAGAGGCGAGATCCGAAACTATTGTCATCCGTGCCTTAGCCCTTGGTGCCATACAATGCCATACTTTCCTCACTAATAAATAGTTTGGTTTTTTATATAAACATAAAACTGGGATTACGCCTGACTATTTTGCAAACACAAAATACATATCGAAGTTAATAAATAATATTAACTGTCCTGTCTTGAGATTTTCTCATTGAAAAGTTCAAAAAGGAAAGAGGAAAGTTAGTAAATATAAAGTATCGGACTATATAGAATAGGACTTTATATAAATATTGAAATGAAATTATTATAAAATATAATTTTAAGTGATTATTTATACTCTTTCGAGTCGAGCTTGATGATCTAAATTTTGCAATGAAAAGGAAAGCCAGGAGAAGAACCTACGTACCCACCATTATGCGACGCGTTTCGCCGTTGGTTAAGCGGCTCATCAGGCATATTGGGCTATGTGGCTTTACCAAGGTCGTACGTTGATAACTTGTATTTTTTCCGCACTGATGCGAAACTTGCATATGCGAATTAAATTCAAATTTGTCAAAGTTCGACGTTTGTCTTCATTCTAGGAACAGTCCTTTTCAAAGCAGATTTTTGTTGTAGCGATGGATAATTAATCCACACACCTACAATTGCTTCCATGGTATACACATGTTTTTGCGCAACCGTTTTGGAAGTGTGTTGATGGCTCATAACGTTAAGCGGTCTTGGCAACATTTGTGTTGCTCCGAGGACCTAGGTTCGAGCCCTAGCCGTGCTCGGCTGAAATTATTTTTTTTTTTGTTATTTTAATTTTGTTGATCATTTGAAAGTGATTTTAAGTGATTATTTATACTCTTTCGAGTCGAGCTTGATGATCTAAATTTTGCAATGAAAAGGAAAGCCAGGAGAAGAACCTACGTACCCACCATTATGCGACGCGTTTCGCCGTTGGTTAAGCGGCTCATCAGACATATTGGGCTATGTGGCTTTACAAAGGTCGTACGTTGATAACTTGTATTTATTCCGCCCTGATGCGAAACTTGCATATGCGAATTAAATTCAAATTTGTCAAAGTTCGACATTTGTCTTCATTCTAGGAACAGTCCTTTTCAAAGCAGATTTTTGTTGTAGCGATGGATAATTAAAATAAAATTTATTTAAATATTTTCAAATAGGCCATCGTAAAAATGACAAAATTAAGTCATGATTTAGATTAGGCGAGTTTACTTGCGGCAAGTCTTTGTTTGTTGGAGAGATGGGCAAGGGGAATAGAAATAAAAAAAAATTGCTTGTACCGACAATTTTCTGGCAATTCGTTTTGTGTATTTCGTACTTGTTGACATTTTATATATATTTAAATGTGAAAAAACAACAAATAGAAAAATATTTTGGAAGCCGAATTGCCTTGTATAGACGCATGAAGCAAGTTCAAAATGGAACGACAAGAATTGCCGCAAGTAAACTCGCCTAATCTAAATCAAGACTAAGTTAGAGTTGCTGGAGTTGCCATCATCGATTTAGGAGATGAAACTACCTTTAATAATTATGCCATGATTGTTATCAATATTTAACTAAAACGGCATTTACATTAGAACTTTTTACTCTATGTGGATTTATTTGACATGTACACAATGGAATTGACAATTGAAACCCACTGGTTTAACGAAATCCGATACAATGTAAACGTACTATAAGAATGCTGCAATTTATATTTACAGGTTTTATAGGCAGGAAACTTAAAAATATTAATATAAATGATTAAAAAATGTTCGCCACTGGACCCAAGATTTGCGTACATTTCGAAGGAAGATATTTTCGTTTAAATTTTGACAGCTGAATGTTTTCAAAAGCAAATTTATGAAAAAAATAGAAACATATGACTACATGAGACTACCTTGTATGGTTATGCCATGCGATTTACCATACAAAATTAAATCCACTCATTATCTAGATTAGCTCCAAATCCTTTTTAAAATACAACTCACGTCTATAAAATTCAAACACTACCCTGATAAGTGAACATTTTTTATCAATATTTTCCAATAATTCTTATTCCCATTTGTTTTTGTAATATATTTCATTCAATTTAACTTTTCTTTGCCCACCTTTTGATTTTCTTCTTGGTACGATCCAAATCATATTTACAGCTGCGTAAGAATTGTGCCAAGTTTTCATAATCGGTGCGGGCGTTAATATTGGGGTTATCGGCTAGCCATTGATACAGCAATTGGATTTTTTGTTGAATTTTGTCGCCCGTTTCGCAGTTATTATCGCACGGTTTAATTTTTATTGAATTTCGTAGAAACATTGCAGGTAAGTAACAAGTTACCGAAGTAACAAACAGTAGATACCAAATGCACAAACAACAAAAATCAAATGATTTTAAATTTTCTTTGTTTTGAATTTCAACTACTTTATATATATATATATATATTATAATTGTTATTAAAACTTTGTAATTATTTTTTTTTGTCGCCACTTGTTTTTCTTAAGATTCTGTATATCTTTTGATGTCTGTTTTTTGTCTTTGTGTAGAGAATATATGTATATATATTTATATTTGTTGTATTAAATTTCCATTGTTCATTGAAATGTTTGCACTGAAATTGATATGCTTATTGTTGTTGTCTTTATTTGTAACCAAATCACTAATTTTTTTGAGTGCGTATTAATATTTATGGTGGAAGATTCTATATCAGTTTTGGTTTATTTTATTTTTGTTTTTTAATACGAAACGTATTGTACGATCCTCCTTCGCCGGCTATTAAAACTGCAATGAAATTAAATAAATAAGGCGCGCGATAAACAAGCTACTTTTGACCGACATATGTGTCGATTGTCTCGCCACAAACAGAGAATAGAAAAACAAAAGAAATGCGCTCACTCTCTCCCTCAGTTATTATCTCACGTCTTATTAAATTGAGCGTTGTAGAACAAAAAGAAAAAGTAGAAACAAACGACATATCAATAGCGTGTTTTTGCTACTTTGAATTTAATTAATTTATTTTCTTTGCTTGTTTTGTATTAACATTTTGTAGGTATTAAGATTCGTTTATTTTCCGCGTAGCGGGGAAAATGAGGGCATTTTTATAAACTAAATAAAGGATACTAAATCCCCTCGATCTCAAACGACAATTCCATTGCGTATACGTCACGTTAATCCAGTTCACAAACATATATTTTTGGCGCAAATTATAATTTTTTTATGTATACCAAACAAACATCAGCTGATCGGCATTTAGATCATGATTAAAGGTATTTGTAAACAATTAGGGTGTATTTCTGGATTTCGTTAATCGAGTCGATTAAAAACCGTATATGTAAATGTACTTTAAATCCACTCAATATCTCGATTTACTCGAAATCCTATAATTTCAGCTGTGTTCCCAAACCTGCAATATAGTACTATATTGTACTAGTTTTGCAATTGTTGCTAGAAAAGCGTTTCCTTACGCCAAAAATTAGGAAAAATTTAAGTTAAATTTAAGAGAGTTAAAACCAAAATGGCGTTCTCTTCTCCTATTTTCTGCAAGACCAATTTGGCCTAGCACGAAATAGTAAATGTAGTAATTTATGAATTTGACATTTGATTGCCAGATATATACAGTCCGAAATAAAGCATATGAAAGTTAGGGCTTCAACAAAAGAGACACTCGCACAGACGCACACACATTTGCTTAAAAAAAAAAAAACAAATAAGAAATTTAAAAATCAACAAACAGTTTTTTATTCTCTTTTGAAGGATAGCGAAGATGAATGGCTGGCAGAAGATTCAGATGAAGATACTGTAGAATGAAGACTTGGGTTGGTCAATCGTACCAAAATATCCAAAATATCTTGGGCTTAAGACAAGTTTAGGGGCTCCGCTTGGATCGCTTTGACATTTTTACAGTAAGTAGTCCTCGGTGAATTGATTACAGTGATATGGGGAGAAATGCATACTTCCCGAGATATGGGCCTTGAAAGTTTGGAAAGTATGTTGTTTTAATTAGCCGTATCATTTTAAAGGTTATGGTTTGTGTTATATAACTAGATGAAGAATATATTGCGTAGCCATGTATGAGCCTGTCCATATGTGAATGTCTTATTCTTAAGTTCTCTAAAAAATACCCGGTATAAACTTTTAATAATACCCATATTGCCTTGGTGGCAATAGAAAAAGGGTTGTTTTAAACAAAATATGTTCCGAAATTCCAAGGCCATTTTCCCACATGAAATGTATATCACTGTAATCCGCACAAGGAGGGCTACTTACGGTAATCATTTCAAAATGATCCGAATGGAGCCCCTGAACTTGACTTGTTCCATATCTTGTTGTTCTAGTTCGCAAAATATCTACCAATTTCAATAGCATTAACATTATGGGAGCGTCGAGCCATGTAAGCTCGGAGTCGTCGGAAACTCCACTTCCAAATATTCGATAAGGCTTTCCTCTAAATTATACAAATAAAAAATAAACAAAAAAGATTTATACTATCAAAATCACGCAATGGACGCCGTTTAACTTTTTGTTTTTTTTTTTTTGTGCATTAGGTTTCTGTAGTCTTTTTTTTTTGTCCTTAACAAATGAAATTTTTGATTTTGACGTTTCTTCTTAACTATTTTTCGTTCCTTTACTTTTTGCGCAAATCTTGTATGTGAGAGTAATTTTTGATAGTTCGCTCTTTTACTAGCTTTACTATCAAAAAGTACGGGAACGAACCTTTCATATACAACCCTGCTTTAGTACGTAAAAAATAATGACTTCTCCCTAAAGTGTTCTACAAAATGCTTTACAATTCAAAATATGTGACTACCAAAAGTAGAGAATTTTTAAAATTTATTGCGAATATTACTATAATTTAAAATCACAAATGTTTTTATGCATTATGGACATAAAGTGCGTTTGAATTTTCGAAATCCACTCGATCTCAAATGTAAATTCCATAGCGTATACGTCAAATATAATCCACTGGATTTGTGAACATGATTAAGTTGACGCATGGTACAATAATTCATGGTAGGCCATAGCAACTTATATATTAATTATACCCTCCACCGTAGTATGGAGGGTATATTAATTTTGTCATTCCCTTTGTAACTCATCGAAATATTCATTTCCGATCCGCTATCATCTGAAGGAATTGATATAGGGTGCTGAAATTTTGCATAGGGTTGTCTTTTGTCTGCAGGCAGGTCAAGTTCGAAGATGGGATATATCGGTCCACGTTTAGGCATAGCTCCCACATAACAGTACCCCCCAATTTTCAGTATTTTTGGGTTCTTAGGCGCGTTTTTCAACCGAATACGCTGAAATTTGGTACATTGTGTTTTTATTGGATACTAAATGTATCCACAAAAAGTTATAAATATAGGTCCACATTTTCTGGTAGCCCCCATATAACGGTACCTCCTTATTTTCAGTATTTTGGGGGTTTTGATCGTATTTTTCCACCGAATTGGCTGTAATTTAGTATTTCGAGTTCTTAATAGGTACCAAATCTCTCCACATAAAATTATAAATATAGATCAATTTTTTCGGATAACCCCCATATAAGGGTACCCCCCAATTTTCGGTATTTTGGGGTTCTTGAGCGCGTTTTTCAACCGAATACGCTGAAATGTAATACATTGGGTTCTTAATAGGAGCCAAATCTCTCCACAAAATATTATGAATATAGGTTAATTTTTTTCGGATATCCCCCATATAAGGGTACCCCCAATTTTCGGTGTTTTGGGGTTCTTGGGCGCGTTTTTCAACCGAATTTGCTGCAATTTGGTATTTTGTAGTCGTATATGGTAACAAATCTCCCTACCAAAAATTATTAATATTCGCCCCCTTTTTGGGGTAGACCCCATATAACCCCCTTTTTTATATTACAATAGTTATCTGATTTGTTCCGCGTTTTGAGTTTGGTTCTAAGACTCTTTTGTAATCAATTTACCTGCGGAGGATAGAGAGATAAAAAATTAGAACGTAAGGTTCGATAATGAACTATAGTCGCATTTAGACCTAGCCCCTGATTGGAGATTCCAAAAGGAGTGGAACAATATTCCCTATCTTCCAATTTGAACTAAGCTAGGAAGAAATAATAAGATGGGCAAGGTTCGGATGAAATCTAAATTTTCTGAAACGGATTTGGTCCAAAGAAACATGGGGTCTAGAACCAATATTTCGATGAGGCACTTTTTCGCCGTGTTAAAATGTATACACACTCAGTAGCCATAAAACTGAGGGTATAATTATCCTTTAAAAATTTCTAAAATGTGTATTATGGTTTACATAATCCGTTTTTAGAAATGTCGGTATAGGTCCCCTTTTTGGTATGTTCCCTATATTTTCATTTCTAGTAGCTGTCAATATATCTATGGTGGAGGGTATCAAAAGTTCGGCCCGGCCGAACTTACCGCTTTTTCACTTGTTTTTGTTTAATATTGTGGCTTGTTATGCCAAAGTCGTATACAAAATGTGTGACTGTGTTTGTAATGTTTTGAAATATATAAAAAAAAAATTCTAAAATCCATTTGTTTGAAGATGAATTTTACAACATTGGTAAGAAGAAATGTATGATTTGTGGATGAATCAAATTTAAATCATATTCCCAACTCGATTTTGAAAAGAAATCTTGGCATTCCATTCATTTTTGGTACATTGTGACATTATTGCATTACTGCACATTATACGTCACCCATGGCATAATAACAGAAGGTAGTCTCATTTGAGAAATTAATAATGGCAAACCTTTTTGATTTGGAACTCATCTATCAATTTCAAATTATATAAATAAATAATAAATAATAATAATTATATAATTAAGTAATAAATTCCATAAAATGTTATGCATTCCATTCGACATTTTTTTTTAAAAAATGAAAAATGTATGCTTTCTATAAACAAATATCTAAATTTTTGATTAATATTGTTCTTAAGATATATGGTATTTTCCAGTACTTTTTTTTAATAGTAAAGTTAGTAAAAGGGAAACATTTCAAAATCGCTCTCAAAGTACAAAATAATTTGAAAAGTTCAGGAACTCAAATCTAGTAAATATGCAAAAAATAGATGGCAATACTTCAAAATCAAAATAACAGTCAATCAGAAGTAGGCATTTCCTGTTTACCATTTTTACTCGGCCAAATTTCTCGAGTAAAAAGTTTACAAAGAGAGCGTCATTTTGTATTGTGCTCCCTTAAATTTGATTCAATGCTTTACCAGTTTTGTGGGTTCAGGAACGGTTTTCGAGTAAAAAGTTGCAAAACTTGTAAAATTAGTAGATTCTTTTAGGTTCTGGAACGGAACTATAACTATAGATGTTACAATTTATATTT